TCGTTTTAGAATCCCATCAGCAGTGAATACAGGTTCCAGTCTCCCCATATTCTTGAGTTTGTTGCTGTTGTTTTTATATCGGTGCCATTTTAGCTGGTGTAAGATGGTATCATTGATTTACTTCTTTCTGCTAGCTAATGGTTATGAACAACTTCGTGTGTTTGTTGGATACTTGGACAGCCTTTTTCATGATCTTTCGCCTTTTTGTAAATTGAGTTGTTGTTTGTATTTTGTTGCTGAGTTGGGGTTTTCTATAGCTTTTAGGCATTAGAACACTATTGGATAAGTAATTTCTAAAACATTTTTCCAAGTCTGTAGGTTGTATATTTACTCCTTTAGTAAAGTTTCTTGATGACCATACATTTAAAATTTTCAGTATGTTCGATTTATCTCTTTTGTCTTGTATTCATGTATTTGTTATTACGTATCCTTATTTTACAAGTTTCGGTACCATAGTTTTCTCTCCATGTTTGCTATCAGGAATTTTATGATCTTGGGTTTAAGTTTTAGGTCTTTGATCCATTTTAAGTTAGTTGTATGTGGTGTGAGGTATGGGTCCTGTTTCACGTTTCTACAGTTGAATACCCAGTGTTGCCAGTCCCCCTAATTCAAGAGACTGTTTCTGTCTGCCCTACTTGATGAATTTTGATCCCTAGTCAAAAATCAGTTGTTCATAGATGGCTAGGTTTAATTGAGTTCTCAGTTCTCTTCCACTGGCGTGTGTGTCCATCATTGAACCAGCAGCAACTATTTTTAATTACAGTGGGTAGATAAAATATTTGATATTTTGGAGTGTGAAGCCTTTTTCTCTGGTATTACTTTGGCTATTGAAGTTTTATTACTTTCTCTATGAAGTTGGTCACTAATTTTCCCATTTCTGTGAAGAATGTTGGTATTTGTATTACATTGAATTGCTAGATTGCTAGGCAAAATTGACATTTTTTACTTTATTAAGTCTTATATTCATGAGCAAGGGATGCTTTTCTATTCTTGTAGGTTTCTTTTAGGGTGTCATAGTTTTCCTTGAATAAGTTTTGGGTAGTATTTAACTTTGACTTATACTTGAGACTGTATTAAAAAATGGCTTGGTTTTGGAATCTAATTAGCACTGTAGAGAAAAGACCTTGTTAAAATTAGACATAATGTCTGTGTGAATGGATGTCTCATTCTGTTTGGTTTCTAACATCCGATTATAATAATATCTAGTAGACTTGGTGGCTCTGTTCACTTAAGACAAAGGATATAGGCGGGCCTGCCCTTACTCAAGATACATGCTCCTGCTTCCAGTTTGGTTTATCATTTTATAGTCTTTCTAGTAGAATGCCTTCATTTTCATTCATAGGAAGTGGTGGCTTCTGTGGAGTGCAGTGCAGTTTGACTGAATTCGTTAGCTAAGAAAAGATCATCTCTCTGAAACGTGGTCACAGTTAAATAATTATGTTCCAAAACCTATTTTTCCATTTTCCATACTGGTTTAAAGTTTTATTTCTCATTTTGTTGTTAGAATTTGTATATTCTAGATCTATGAATTGAAAGAAGAATAGACACATAAAGGAATTTTGGACTTGAGAGAAGGTTTGATAATTTAGTTTGCTAATCCTGTGCTGTAGTAAAACTATTAAACTGATAAAAGCAATAGCTCTCCTTCACCTTCTTGATGATATGTTAAGGTAAAAGAAATGAAAATGAAATGCCTTCCCAGAAACAGTGTTACAATTATGGTGCTCTTAAGAATTAAAATTTCTCAAGAATAAGGGTACTTGAAATTTTATTTACCACCTTAGCATTGTTTCAAAATTGGTCTTCTGGTTTTCCTTCTTTTTTTATATGCCACGTTTAGTTTTGTTAGAAAATGGAACACTCTTCCATCTTTTTCTTTTAAAAGTCAGTGTTACCTTTTCTTTGAAGGCTCGGTGAGACGTCTCCCCCACACGTATTGGAATGTTTTTAACCATCTTTAGGTTTGGTTTTTTTTCCTCCTGTGATTATTTTGGTTTATCTTGATTTGAGGGTTTCGTTAATTCATGTTTTTCCTGAAAGCGATGAATTGTGAACTTTTAAAAATGTAGTATATTTATTGTATCAGTTTATATGGTACGGGTAGTTTAATATCTAGTTTTATTTTCTTAATCTTTATGATCTTCACTCGGCTCTTTCACTGTCCCCTGGTCATCTCCTGCAGATTGGTGGTGCTGACTTTGTTCTGGTGGGCCGGGCTGATCGCTGGCAGTGCGGATGGAGAGTTCCCTAAGCAGGCTGGTGTTGGCTTTTGCTAGAGACGATGATTCTGTTTCCATGAGACGTTTTGTCTTTACTTACTCTTGCTGCGCCTTTTGTACTTTCCTAGCTACTTGAATGGAAAGCATAGTTTCCTTGTTTTCAGTTCTTTTTTAAATCAGCTTGTATGTTTTCCTCTCCCTACTACTTTTGTCGCTTCCAACGGCCTTCAGATAATAATGCTCTCGTTACTATCTATTTTTTAGTCCCTTGTGGTACTTCTATTTTGACTGAATTTTTAATCTAAGGCTTATTTAGGACATTAACAAGTTGAGTGACACATTGAGAGCCCCCAGAAGCTTGGTGCTGTTAAAATCTAATGTATTGTGTCAAGGTTTGTAACTTATATGGTTTCTGCATTTTGGATTTGCGATTTTGTTGTTGCACTGATGCATGTCATTTATTTTTATTATTCCAGTTGCCAGAAACTGGAGACTCTGGGATTTGACTTTACCTTTGATTGTGTCTATTTAATTGATGCCTAGTGAACATCCTGCGTGGTACACATGGTTCATACTCTTGGCTGCTAACCAAAATTTTGGTGGTTCGAGTCCACCCAGTGGTGCCTTGGGAAAAGGCCTGGTAATCTACTTCCCCCAAATTAGGCATTGAAACCCTGATGGAGCAGAGTTTTACTCTGGTATACATGGCGTCCCCAGGCATTGACATTGACTTCAGTGCAACTGGCTGGTTGGCTTAGCGGAAGATAGAAAGACTGCATTACTCATGACAAAAAACGGTAGCCTGTTTGGTTCATAGTGGTTTGTGTTGCTCCAGGAGGGCCATTCAGGGATCCTGTTGATGGATTTCCACACGGTGGCAACTCTAAGCTTGGGGAATTTCCCATTTTTGTGGTATGCAGAAGCAAGCCAGCTGTTTCCTGGAGGAGGCCCGGTTTTACCCAAGTCAGTCCGGAGAATGGCCATTGGAACAGAGTGGTCAGGACCTTGCATTTTCAGCAGAGCCCACAGGACCCATGAGGAGAAGGATGCTCAGACTGCAGGGCAGATTCCCGCTCCGAACACCAGTGTGTCTTTTCGAGGTCATTCACTCGTCTAAGACAGGCACATAGGAATCATACTTTCTTTTTTCCTTCTATGGATTTCATCACAGAATCTGAAGTATTGTATACATGATTGTGCTCCTCTTCGACTTTCACCTTCCCAGTCGTCTCTTTAGTTTCCTTAATTACTAATCGAGAGGCCAGTTCTACCTGGCCCGTCATCCACAGTTAGCATCTGCTCATCTGCACAACAGCCCGACAAACACAGCTCCAGTGAGTCGGGACAGCTTTTGTATCAAAAACACGTTAGTGGCTTTCCAGTACTCTTAGCATAAGTCGTTAGCAAGACCTTGCATTGCTTATTTTTACACTGTTCTCATTTCACTTCTTTCTTTGCCCCACCAGTAAGCTAGATGTTCCAGCCTTATCTATTTTATATGCACTTCTGCTACGCGGTCTCCAGTTTATTTCGTGTCTTACTGCCGCAGCTTGGCCTAGTTCATGTGCAACTTTTAGACTTTGTATCGACGCTTTTTATCATTTCTGTTATTACAGCCCCAGTTAGAGCCACTGCCTTTCTCCTGAGTGGGAGCCACAGAGTTGGTCTCACAGGATCCATTTTCTCTTTCTCAGGCTTCTCCTTCCACACAGCCAGAGTGAGCCTTCTGCAGCAGAGAGCAGTATCACTCTTCCGTGCCTTTAATCTGAGGGAGAGGCAGGTGACTTTACCTACATTATGAAATCCTATTCATCTAGTGAGTATTAGTTGTGCATCTGCTACTTACCAGACACTGTTCTGGGCACTGAGCTAACATTCTTGCCTTTGAGGGACTGGTATTCTAATGGGTTGAGACAGACAGGAGAAGAAAACAGAAAATACACAGGAGGTTGGTGGTTGTAAGTTTAGAGTATCAAGGATGGTCTCCACCAAAAAAAGGTCATTTGAGTGATGAGTTGCCTTAAGGTGGTATGAGAGTGAGCTAGCTGTGCAGATAGTTGGGGGAAACATGGGTATGGCCAAGTGACTGATTGCAAAGGCTTTGAGGCAGAAACATTCTGGGAACAACCAAAAACCAAACTCACCACCATCGAGTCGACAGTGACTCAAAGTGACCCTGTAGAACAGGGTAGAACCACCCTTGTGAGTTTCTGAGACTGTAACCCTTTACAGGAGTAGAAAGCTGCATCTTTCCCCCACAGAGCAGCTGATGCTTTCGAACTGCTGCCCTAGCAGTTAGAAGCCGAACTTGTAACCACTTTGCCACCAGGGCTCCTCAAGAGGACGGCCCACATATATGGCCCGTGTGGAATTTGGGAGGAGGCAAGAATAGGAGCTGAGAGCAGATTTATCTTTAAGCATCTCTGGAGTTTTTTGAGCACTTCACCGAGCAGTGATGTCCCGCTCTTGTAATTGACCCCTCCTCAGGACATTTCCAAAGCAAGAGACGTGGGGATTCTTTTGTTCTTCTGGAAGTAGATCATTAGGGTGTTCTTTTAGGGTGCTTTGCTGAAGCTTTGCTGAAGCCTGTTGGTGACTTGGATGGCATGTGGGATACCAGTGGCCTAGCTTCTGCCATCTTCGCAGCAGCAGGCCACCCCAGTGCGATAGAGTACCAGCTGGCGATAGTCCTCAGGAGAACTTTAAAACCATAGTCTTTGGAAGTTCACCGGTGGGAGAGATTAACTTTGCGTAACAGATTTCTTTTAATTTCTCTGGCAGATTCGAAAGAAACTGCATGTAAAACCAGAATGTTCAGTAATGCAGAAAACAAGAAGAATTCAATAAAGATGTGGTTCAGTCCTCGTAGTAAGAAGGTCAGGTATGTTGTGAACAAAGTGTCGGTGCACACCCAGCCTCAGAATGTCAGTGACCAGAATGCCCAGCAGGCCTCCATGTACGAGTTTATCTCCTCCAGTCCTTCGCTCGATGTGTCTCGGAAGGCAAAGACTAAAAAGGCTTCCGCAAAATCTAGGAAAAGGCAGAGAAAGAAAAGATTGGCTGAAATCAACCAAGAGTGGCATGTAGGGGCAGAAAAGGAAGATGGGGACCCTGACTCCAAGGAGGAATCTAAGGAAAGGCTGGTGTCCTTCTGCAGCCAGCCATCTGTCATTGCCAGCTCTCAGCCAAACGGTGAAATCGACTTACTAGCCAGTGACCCCCTAGCAGAGTCTGAATTTCTCAGAAGCTTAAATGAGAGCTCCTTACCTCTGGCTGTGCCCTCCGTGTCTCCAGAAGTTGACAGCAAGCATGAAGTAGGGACACCCCAGGAGAATCCCTGTGAAAATGACCACGCACCTAAGGAAACCTTGCCTTTGGGCCGGGAGGAGAATCGGTGTCCCCCAAGACCTCGCAGTCCCATTTCCCAGCCACGTCGAGGCAGCCTTCAGAGAGCTGGGAGCTCTCTTGTGAAGCAGACCATCGGGGCGGAAGAGCCGTTGCCTGGCTGTCCTTCCCCACCGCCAAGCCGACTTGAAGTTGGCGGCACACTGAGGAGAAAAAACAGTCACGCGTCCGATGACTCCATTAGTCTTTCGCCAGGTACTTCCCCTTCTCCACTGACCAGTCCAAGTTACAGACGAATGATGTGCAGCCCCTCTGCAGCCAAGCTCTCGCCCACCGGCCGCCCATCTGTGAAAAGGAACCACAGGGGAGAGACTCTGCTCCATATTGCATCGATTAAGGTAAGACGTGTGCTCCGAAATTCAGGTTTGGGAAGAAGCCAACTCGAATCCCTTTCTCCAGGGTCTGTGACTAGGGCCATCAGACTGACTACTTCCTAGAGCCATCAGCCCTTCCACGCACGAGAGCTTTCCTTTGAACGTGGAGTGACGTCCTCCTTGCTTAGAGCAGTGGCGGCCCCGGGATCCAGAGAGCATGAGCTTGCCAGAGGAAACTTGCATTTCACCCTCTGTTTAGCCAGGTGCCTTGTCTGGTTTTTGACTGGTTTTTGTTCAGTTTTCATCGTTCTGTTGACCTATTCTTCTAGCGTTCAATGGATAGCTGAAGTACTGCTGGCAGTGCGTTCCTCCGTAGCAAAAGAGCTGGGGCAGCATGAGCGGGGGCCCGCGTCAGGGTGTGCTTGGTACTCCTGGTGGGCACTCCACCAGCATTTGCAAGATTGAAAGACCTAGCAATCTGACTGTCAGACGTAGCCCCCATGCGTTCACTACGCAGAGTGACTACCCCATTGGACTGCCCCGTTCAACCGTGGCTTTTACTGGCTTGTTCATTGAAGTGAGCTCTCCTCCATTATTGCCTCTGCACCCGGGTCCAAGGCAGTGCGAGTTGCCTGGGACTTGGCCTGCCTTCCTCCTCCGGACGCTGGGCATGAAGCCTGCTTGCAGTGGTTCATCTTTGAAGCTGACGCACGTTTTACTATGACAGGGACCAGCTCGTCCCCTTTATAGACCTGGATCTGTGATTTCATGCAAGGGGCATTAAAACGTATTACCTTGTAGCTTAGTGGTGAATCAGGATAGCTTTTATGCCGCTGTTATGACTTTATACTGTAAATTCGCCCAGTGAGTGCCTGGTTCCTTGGGTTGGAGAGAAATTTGGGAAGTTTGGGAGAAACCTCTTGGAAGTTCCCGAAACATGAGATCGAAGGATTCACCACGTGAAATAGCAGTTAGTAAGCCAGCCCGGTAGATGTGGAGGTGGTCCAGGGAGTGCCATATTTAATTGTGTGTGAAGAGGGAGAGGCGCTCCCTGGCTGCCTCCCTGGTGGTAGAGGTCTTTCCTTTGTCTGCTTGGGGATTAGTGCAGAGTGTGCTCCCGACACGGGCTCGGGGCACCTGCAACCTGACGGGTGCTAGGGCCTGACAACCTCATAGATAAACCTGTGCTTTCTGCTGACCCCGGTTCTCATTCAGTCAGATTTCTGCAAAGCGTGACTTAAAACAAAAATACAAAAAGACTGTGTTTTTGGCATCTTTTGATACAAACTATTATAATCTTCACATTAAGATGTTATTAATATGAGTGCTTCTCGGGCACAGGTTGCCAGCGTAATAATGGTGACGTTTCTGTCTCAGATAGGCTGCTTTCGTTCCTGCCTTTCCCCTTCTGGGAGTTATTTTCAGGCCACCAGGCAAGAGTCCACTTAAGTTGATGGAGAATGCCCTCCCAGCCACAGTTTATTTTTATGGAACATCCCTAGGGTTTCGTGTCTAGGCCACTCTTCCTCCCCTTAAGGGCCAGCATTGCTTGCAGCCGATCTGGTCTCTGTTTAAACAGAAAAGTGGGTCAAGGGAGACATCAGACAGTGTAAGATATGACAAAATAATAATTTATAAATTATCATGGGTTCATGAGGGAGAGGGGAGTGGGGAGGAAGGGAAAAAAATGAGAAGCTGATACCAAGGACTCAAGTAGAACGCAAATGTTTTGAGAATGATGAGGGAAACAAATGTACAAATGTGCTTGACATACAATGGATATATGTATGGATGGTGATGAGTTGTATGAGCCCCCAATAAAATGATTATTAAAAAAACAAACAAAACAAAAAACAAAAAAAACTGCGCAACACTGCGGGAGGTATTGTAAACAGTGCCACAGACAAAAGTAAACCAGTAAACTTTTAGGTATAAAGTAAATAGCTGGCCTACAGAGAAAAATGTGGTATAAAGTGGTCTTGGTAGACTTCACTATCAGAAATTGCTTAAGATTATTTCTTCCAAGTTTAGTCAGATGGTTGCTTTTCTTAAGCATCTCGCAACTTACCCATTTTGAATCTCTTGATTCTCTTAATTATCCACTACTCGTACTGTCATTGGTAAATTCAAGATACTGTACCATTCAGGAAAGGGCACTGATTTCTATTGTTTTTCATATCATTAATTGACAGCGTCCCCTTTTCTTAAAATGTATGGTGAGTTGAATGTGCACTGCCCACCCTTGCCTGAAAATTTGTAGATGCTGGAATAAACCCTTCCAAAGTTCCTAGCATGAATTCTTAAAATGGTAAATATTACTCATAATTCATGCCACACTGATAAGCTTATTGTGAAATAGAAAGATAGCTTGTAGTTGGCATTGCATGATGTATTAGTAATGCAGCAATAATAGATACTATTTCAAAGGCAATTGACAAGGTAGAGAGAGTCTGCTTAGAACACACAACAAAGGCGGTGATGCTCTCCTAGGTAAAGAGAAACCCCTTGTTGAGTCCCCGCGAATGCTTGACTTTTACTGTGTATGAAAAGTTATGTTATCACTAGGTATCTTTCATACTAGGTCGATGAGAAAGTATCAAAGGGTTCAGAAGCAAATTGGCATCTGTGATATTTTTAAGATTTTAACCTCGAGAACAACCCATGGAGTAACCATCCAGTTTTCCTGTGTCACTGAGAGGAAGGCCAATACCAAGGTAGTGAGTGGCAGGGGGAACTCGGTACTTACTCCATAACTTACTGTAATGAGGGTTACCACAATCATCAGGTAAAGTATTTTATTCACCAAACCCTGCTGCATTGGAAGCAGGGAAAGTATTTAAAATCTTTTAGAACTCTATTCCAGATGGCTAATTTTTTTTAAAGCCAGCATTCACTTGCTAAAAGGGGAAGATTAATGTACTTGGTGAGTCCATTTATGCAGAAAAACTTAGCTATAGTTGATAATTCATCAGTATCCTATTTTATTATAAAGTCCTACTGTTTTTATAAAAGTGTTTATGAATGGTATTCTTGAAGAACTCATCATAAGGGTAGAAAAGTTTTGGGGTTTGCATGTGTGCTCTTGTTTTGGGGAAGTTAAAAATTTAGGTTACTGTAATATGCACAAGTGAAATAGACACAAATCTGTAATGATTTTTTTTCTTTGAACAGAAGGCTAAGCAGTCAAAATGCAGTGAAACATACACATTTTTTTATCTTCAAGCTTTGAAAGGGTTACTATTACCAAATCCGTTTAAAATTTCCCTTCAAACCTATGTAAATACTTAGCTGTTCCTCCCCCCTTTTTTTCTAACTCTAGTTTTAAGAAAATCTCAATTATCCTTTTATGTTGTGCAGAGCCTAAAGTGTGGGTGCTTATGATTCAGAAAATATTCAGTTACTGAAAAAGTAATTGAAAGAAATCAGAAGTCAGAGAAATTAATTTCCTGGAAACTTCCTGTCAGTTCAAGCTTACTCAGTCTGAATCCCGTCCAATTATCATAATTTTATTTATGTGCATGACATTACTTTTACATAAAATAGAAAGATGAAAATATAACCAACTTAAAAATCGGAGGCAGGAGAAAGCAGACTGGCTATAAAAAGCCAGCAGTGTGATAATCAGTTACCTGTTTCGGGGACGTCTAGAAGCAGAATCTCTCAGAAAACACCTTTGATAATAGGAAGAGGGACATGAAAGAAGAGCATCAGTCTTAACAGCGATTTCCCTCCCATAGCATTCAGCTCTCCTCTCCTCTGTGGCTCTCTCATCTCTACAGTGGTCTTTGGGTCATTATATGGACTTCTTAAGGTTCATAGGATTTTGTCATTAAAAAACAAAACCCACCCTGTTGCTGTATGTCAGTGCTGACTCATGCAGATGCTAGGATGGAGTAGGGCTGCCTGTTAGAGTCTCCGAGGCTGTAATCTTTGCGGAAGCAAACTGCCGTGTATATGCCTCTCTCTTCCTGCAGAACAACAGCTGATGGGTTCAAACTGCTGACTTTTCATTTAGCCCCACGGGGGCACCATCTTTTATGATTATCATGTAAAAGGAGAAAGGACAAGGGCTTTTATATATTTTTTGTGCTGAAGCTTGGCAGCATATGCTGCTCTGGCAGTTTATCTGTAGAACGTTCGTGGCACTGTTTTTAAAAATTCAAAGTTGTATTTGCATAATCTTGAGTGCCTTTGGAATTGACTTAAATATACAGCAAAAATTACACTCACTCCACTCATTGTCATCCAATGGATTCTGACGCTTAGGGACCTGACTGGACAGAGTAGAACAGTTCCTGCAGGTTCTTGAGACATTTTTAAAAATTGAATCTGGGATAATCAATTTGACAGCTGTTTGTGGACCCACTGCATGTTTAAAGCCATTTTGTGACTTGAGGAACATAAAAATCTCAGTTGTTGGTGTTTGTTGTTTTTTTTAAAGAAAAACCTTAGTCAGGTTTTGCAATTTTTGAGAAGCAGCTCACAACCTGGAAACAGAAGAAACAATCACATAAAAGTAAATGTTTCCTCCCCGCTCCCAATACCATGACTCGAATTCGAC